ATTGGCAATATGATATGTGCAAGAACGAATAGCACACAAAATTGGAGTTTATGGAAAAGACTACTTATGGATTTTTTGTGACCAATATAAAAGTGGTGGCAATCTTTCCCACATAATTGCTCGATAGAAGAGAGTGAACTGCCAATAATCTTTTCTGCCATCCTCACCACTCTCTGCACTGCCTTCCTGTCTGAAGCAGTGAATGTTTCCAAACCAGATTGTAATGCAATATGACAGGATCACAGGTGGGTTTCAGCAGGTTCTGACCAGTTCTGGAGAACCGATAGCGGAAATTTTGAGTAGTTTGGAGAACCGGTAGTAAAAATTCTGACTGGCCCCACCCTCATTCTCTGCCTCCCAAGTCCCAGCTGATCAGGAGGAAATGGGGATTTTGCAGTAACCTTCCCCACTAACCCCTCCCCCCACTCAAAAATAATCAATGAGCTTCAACCATACTCAGTCCTGGAAGGCCAATAGTATGTCATTCTGGCTTCACATTGATATCTAAGGGACCTAAAAAGCCTAAGGCATCTGTATTCATCCTGGAAACTCCAGGTTGGGAAGTGACATAATGAGAAGACAGATAATGACAAAGGTATCTCTGAGGTTTGTATTACCAGATACGGAAATATAAAATGATTTCTTTGGAAAAGAGATATATTGGGCACAGAGAAATGAGTATCATCACTTTTCTTTCCTTTTAGTTGAAAATGGTGAGCAATTTACCACCAGCAGTCAGTGGTGGAGCTTGCTGAATGAATACAAGGATTAAGGTAGTGCTCATCTATTATTCCTGAAAGGAAAGGAGATGCCTTGATTTTGACAGTAGGAATGATATTTAGCAGGAAGAGCAGCTATGACTGGTATGAAAATGACTGGGACTGTATGTGCCAACACAGGGTAGAACTTTTGAAGATCCAGCAATACTCAATGGATCTCAGATTAGTAGTTATCTCTTCAAAAACTATGACTACTTTTGATTTCCACTGCCACAAGTTAATATCCATTTTCACAGATGAACTATTCTTTTCTCTTCCATTTCACCTAGGAAGGGTGAAGTCCTCCCTTTAAAGGTTTCTTTTTTTTTAAATTCATATATAGGTTCAGTCCAAGACTTTTTTAAAAAAATATAAAGAACAGAAAATTTCTGTTTTCTAGAGTCCATGGTATTGCCCTGGAACATTTACCCCTGGCTTGTAGGCTGAACAGCAGGCAGATGTCCTCAATATATCATAGTTTTCCCTAGAATATTAGTATATGAGATATATTTCTTTTTTAAAATCTGTGATTGATTTCTAAATTTGTACTGACACATATAAAATGCCATCTGCTAAATTTAGGACATCATGCATCCTGTTTGGTCCTCTCTCTTTTTTTTTTTTTTGTAAAAGCATTTCCTCTTTTTTTTTGGCAATGCATAGGTTGTCCATCTATCTTTTATCTATTTAGTTCAATCTGGTGGATGCACATAAAATTGGCATAGAATAGGACAGCTTGCAGAATGGCTAGTTTTCATAGGAAATAAAGAAGATACTGATTCCAAAAGATGCTTCAGAGTGCAAAGTTAGTCAGCTTCCACTTCCTGTTCTTTCCTGTAGTTTTGCCTTATGGTCTTTTTCTTATCTTTGGGCTTTATTTCCTGATGTTGATGCTTTTGGAGAGGACTAGACTTTGGCTCTTTGACAATTGTGTGCAAGACAACTGGGATGCAAATTATTCTTTTGCAAATAAGGAAATCTCTTAATTGGACTTTCATCATGGCTGCTTAGCATTCTCTGTTTTGTGAGAGGTTATATGTTCCAAAACATTTAGGATAAAAATAGATTTTGAATGCCATTTTATCTTTTATGTATTCATCCACTATCTGCACAATCTGCCATGTATCTCAAGAACATAGATTTGTGTCATCCTGGTACCTAGATTTATCACTCTGGTGCAGGCATCTGTACTTTTACCTAGTGGCAGAGAATCAATATGTACAAGCCATCAGCTCATCTGTCTAATGCTTATAACCCAATAGTCCCATAAACTGGGAAACAATTTGATTTTATTGTTTACTTAGACATCAGCACACATCTTTTCCATAAATGGGGGAGCAGGTTGTCCTTCCAATTAATTAAACAGTCACTGCTTTCTTGAGACAGAGAAACACTGATGAGCTCCATTCTGCGGTTGCATTCAAACTACAGAAAATAGTTGTAATGTTCAGTATCAGTGTTCTCAAATATTAAACTGGTACACAAAATAGAAAAACATGGTCAGTATTTTAAACATTTTGGATCAAGCAACTTTCTTTGTATTGGAGTAACTAAAAACAACAACACTGGCATTATTTCCATTTCCAAATGGCAGAAAACATGCGTGAGGTGAGATTGAAATTTATATATTTCACTTTAGTAGACAGGGTAAAGATGGCTGGAAGTGTTAACCCTGTGACCCTGAAGAAGCATATTACATGTACTTTAGAGGTTCATTTTTCTTAAGAAAAGGCAATCGTGAATTAGGAGCCTGGTAGAGCAAATAAATAAATAAATAAATAAATAAATAAATAAATAAATAAATAAATAAATAAATAAATAAATAAATAAATAAATAAATAAATAAAGTTGGCTGTGGCCTGTGAAATGCAAGTTGCCATTTCTAATATGAATCTTCTAAATATTCTGGTTTAAAAAGTGTCTCTCTCTCCCTCCCTCCCTCCCTCCCCCCTCTCTCCATCTGTCTTTCCCTCCCTCCCCCCTCCCCCCCATCTCTAGTAAAAATGTAATCCGGAACAAAAGTGAACCTTGGAATATTTTTGGATGGACTGGCAGTTTTTCCTGCTAATTTATAGGATGTGATATTGAAATCAAAGACTTTTTGCTATTACCACTGTGTTCATTGACATATTCTTCTGATATTATTAATACTCTTTGGTCTCAATATATATTATTATTCTGGATTAAGGATATAAAAGAAATAACTCAAAGTGCACATTTTGCTTGTATTTTGGACAGAAGAAGCTTAGTCAAAAAATGCTGAAACAGTCCCTATGAACAAAAGATGTTGATTATTTTTATCTTTATATTTCCACATATTGTAATACTTGATTATGCACGGGAGCACATGAATGTATAATTACTTATTGTATAATTATATTAAAGTGGGCTTATTTAGTGAAAGATAACCATTGGTCACCATGTTACTAAGGTAACTGCATTGAAAAAATACATTGAAGCCACAAGAATTTCACCAAAGTGTTCTGTTTTTAAAGCAATTTGATCTTGATCAAATTGAGGAAGAATGGTTGATGTAATGTGGAGTACATTTTGGCATAACATTTGATGGAGCATTACTATTTGACAAGGAACAATATTTTCCCAGTAGACATCAGTTTGCTCCTGCAGGTATCTGAAGGAAAATTGCTTGCTGTTCTTTCAAAGAAAACTATCCTTTTAAAGAGCCTTTTTAAAAAAGGAATTGGACCAATTGAGCCTTTTAGTCTCTGCTCTTAGTCTCTGGGCAAGGGGGGTGGGTGGGCACTGCAGGTATCACAATACCTATGTACCGTATTTTTTGGAGTATAAGACACACCGGAGTATAAGATGCACCTACCTTTTTTGATGAGGAAAAGAAGAAAAAGAAATCGCCCTCTGCCTCTGAGCAATTTTGCCTTGTTGCAGCAAACAGCAAACAGCAAACAGCCTGCTTTACTTTCATTTTCATTTTCAGCATAGCTTGATTAGCACAAGGGAAAAAAAAAACTGCTCCAGCAATTCACCTCTTTGCAGCAAGCAGCAGAGCCCTGCGCAAAACAGCTGAGAGCAAATCAGCTGAGAGTCAGGAGGCCGATCCAATCAACTTGTACTAATTAGGCTGTGCTGAAACTGAAAGGAGCTATTTTTTCTTGCTGTTTGCTTGCAAGGAGGTAACTGCTGTGAGGCAGAAACCAAAGGGTGGGGGCCAGTGGGTGGGCGGGGCTACATTCAGTGTATAAGACGCACCTAAATTTTCACCCCCTTCTTTGGGGGGGGAAAGGTGCGTCTTATATTCTGAAAAATACGGTATATTGCTTGTACCATGTTTTCCTGAAAATAAGGCCTACCCCGAAAGTAAGTCCTAGCTTGATTTTTACATGTGTGCCCAATATAAGACCTACCCCCAAAATAAGCCCTAATTAAGATCCCGCCCACTCCAGGGTGCACAGGTAAAAATTAAGCTAGGGTGGGGATGGGGGGGGGAGTGGAGCAGCCCTACTACTTACCTTTGGACAGTTGCAGCCAGGCCTCGCATACCCCAACACCTCACTTGCCGGCCTATTTCTTTTGCAGCTGCCAAGGCTTTCCTGAAGGCCTCTGCAGCTGATAACAGAGCTACGGATCGATCTGGAGCTCTGTTATTGGCCGCAGAAGCCTTCAGGCCAGAGAAAAAGTTCCTGAAGGCCTCTGACAGCGAAAAGGAGGCCCGGGGGTTGATGCACGCAAGTGAGGTGATTCAGTGGATGACACCTCCCCTGAAAATAAGACCTGGTGCCTTTTATGGTGGCAAAAAAATATAAGACAGGGTCTTATTTTTGGGGAAACACGATATGTCCAACCAAACATTCCTCTGGAGCTCATTACTTAGAATATGGGAATTACTCAGAGTCATTCTGTTTTTGGCTATGAACTTTACACTGTGCAGTAGCATCTGCATAAAAAAATGGGAAAGAAACCCCCTGTGCCATTGTTTTTTGTATAAGGAGAGCGGTGTCTGCCTAATGGCAATTAGGGAACATAATTTTTTGAATTCATACTCGTGTATGTGAAAAATATCAATAAGTGATGTAAATTACAGTATAATACAAGAAATTATAGTTGAAATTCAAAGATCTAAGTAATAAATACTTCAAATAGAAATGGTTCTTTGTTTTTATAGATTGCAAAATAGTTGTCATAAAAATGTTAACATTAATGCTTATTTCATTTTGGTTCCAATATTTTTTTATATATCCACATTCCAAAAACGTATGTGTTACTTACGTTTAATATTTTTCTTCTTTTCTTTGGTTAGTATTAAAATCCATCACATCCCTTTCTATGGTCCTTAAATAAAGAATAGATCTTTCACAATGCTGACACAATGCTCCTAAAAAGATATAACTAGGACCTGGAATGTTATTGACCTTTGCATGCTGTTATTTGGATTTAGTTGGGAAAACAGAAAAATTCCGATGTGGTTGATCTACAAAACCATTTGTCCCAAAGGTGATTTTTCAAGAGGGCAACTGGACTTTCAGGTTTTTCTTTGAAGACATTTTGCTTCTCTAAAAGACGTTTCTATTTGGATGACAAGCCTCAGCTTCTTGGATGAGAAGTGAAATGTCTTCAAAGAAAAACCAGAAAATCCAGTTCCCTGTTGAAAAAGCACCTTTGGAACAACCATGACCTGGATGACTGAGAATCTCCATAGATACAAAAGCATTTGTTATATGTGTAGATTTCAATGTCTTTGTTCTCTATATCATCTTGCTAAGGGATGAAAAAGAATGGGGTCATATAAATGAAAGTTTGTTTCTCATAAATATAAATAGCTTTACTTCTTGACAGAGGATGCAACAGTTTAGAGCAGGGATGGGCAAATATGGCCCCTTTATGACCTGTGGACTTCAACTCCTAGAATTCCTGAGCCAGCTTGGCTGTCTGGGAGTTGAAGTCCACAGGTCGTAAAAGGGCCACAGTTGCCCACCCCTGGTTTAGAGTGTAGAGATTAAAGAAATCACAAAAATCAGCTAAAACATCAAAAAACATTAAAGTATCAAAAGACATGGTCAGGTGCCACCCTAACTTCTTGATACACTACAATTGCCATATACGAGAAGATGAAAGCAATTGTGGCAATGTATAATAAAAAAGGATGACAATAAAAAGCCCACGTAATTTAAGGCACATGCACAGAAAGGTGAAGTTCAGCATCATAGGAGAAATCCAGCATGGTGGCAGCCAGATTCCACCTAAGTGATTTTTTAAATCCAATTTGCAATCCCCTCAGGAAGCATCAGAGCATTACTGAACAGAACCCAAAGTGGTTAAGCATATGAGTCATGCTGTTACCGGAACTTGGAATTGAGGCTGCCTCAGTAGTTTGAAAGAGATGCATTGATTTCCAATGTATTTTCAGGTCACATTCAAAGAGCATATGCACAGCAGGACCTCTTCTGAAGATTTTAACACTTGTATGAGGATCTTGGAAAATTGAGATACAGAAGTTATTTGGAAATCTTTAAATACCCTGACCACCTGAACTTCTCAATGTTGTCGTGCATGTATTAAGGTTTTCAAAAACACCCTACTGTGAATATTCTCTTTTTTTTTCAGAAGTGCTTTTAGAGACCATAAAATCTATGATGTTTCTTAACCTTGATATCCACATGCTATAATTGCAATCTCATGAGATTTGGGGAGGATAGAAATGTGCTTGACTGAAGTACAACAGAATGAGGAAAAGGCCATCTGTGAGTGATAACCAAACCAAGAGAGAAGAATATTTTTCTCATCCTCAGTTATGGGTTTTATAAAGATTGACAAATTTTGGGCTATTTCAAGTAAATGGCCACTAAAGGTCAAACTTGCCTTTGAATTATTGTTGGAGCATTCCTCTTTCTTCTGGAAGAAATTGAAAATAGAGTCCATCCATTTCTTTGGGAGTCCATCCATTTCTTTGATAGAAAATTACTCATCTGCCTTTGGAAGTTATGCGACTTAAGTGGCAGATACTTGTCCAAGGAAATGGGGCTATTGACGCTGATCCTATTCTCCCTTCATACGTGATTGGAACTGGGTGTAAATTGGAAACATACGCCTAATAAGATGTTAGTAGTCATGCCTTGTGGCTGTCTCCAGTAGAAGCTTTCAAAGCTTTCCTTTTTGTGAAACTCTTCAATTTAGTGGGCCAGTACATTTTATTTACTTTATCTAGTTCCTAGTTTTAGATACTATAGAAGGTGAGTCATGTTAATCTATGGGAGTTAATCAAAGGGAGTTGACTTAAAAGGGGCTATCAGATTCCTTCTGCTTCCCAGGTTTAGTGTGATTAAAAATTTGGGTATGTAATTAATAACACCTTGTAGACTCTGTAGAGATTCTCAGTCATCCACATCATGGTTGTCCCAAAGGTGCTTTTTCAGGGGGCAACTGGACTGTCTTGTTTTTTTTCCTGAGGACACAGATAAACCTCCAAGTGCTTCTATAACCCTGTAAAAGGATGCAAATGTTCAGCTGTCTGCAAGGAATATAAATCCTTCCACTCCCCACTATCCTGTCAGATCTGAAGAAGCTTCTTGGACGTGAAATGAAATATCTTCAAAATAAAAACAAGAAAGTCGGTGGCCCCCTGAAAAAAAAGCACCTTTGGGACAACATCTTGTAGAGTTACTAATTATGTTTTTTATTATAAACTATTATTAATGCTTATAAGGAATCTGGGCAAGGGACTGTCCCCTTATTATAAGATAATAAGGGGACAGTCTTTATAGAATTATAGAGAATCCTGAAAAAATAGGCAAATGTAAACAATGTCAAAAGTTTAAAATGCTAGTTGAATGTGTCTATTGAATTTGAAAAGATTGTAATTTTGCTGCTAGACATAATCCTATGAGGAGGGATACCCCAATACAGGTAATCATTGCTTATTGACTGTCTCATGCAGTGACTGTTCAAAGTTATGACAGTGAAAAAACTCCAACTTTGCAACCAATCTTCACATTTATGGCTGCTGCAGCATCCCATGGTCATATGATCATCATACAGGCACTTTGCAAGTGTCTTGTAACAAGCAGGAGGCAGAAGTAAAATTGTATTAATAATTTTTCACTTAGTGACAGCACCACTTCACTCTATGATTGAAGGAGAAGTAACATGGACATAAGATTTTTTGCTTAGCAATCATGCCAATCCCACTTGTGGTCATTAAGTGAGGATTACCTGTTCTGCCATCACTGGGAAGACTCTTTCTTCTATTATTGCTTCATAAGCCATCTCAGTGCTGCCAATCATCTGGTTAACCAATGCAGAAATGTTGGAATAAATGAACCAATCCATAAAATAACATTTGCATTTCTAATCTGAAAGTTGTTATTCTTCTCTCATTGTAGGGAAATAAAGCTTGGTCCATCATTGGTTTTTTTTCATAGGCAACTTTTGGTGTAGAACAGTATCCATTGTACTGTATATTCTATTCCATATGAAAAAAGGAAGATTACAATTTTTTTGTACGATGAAAAGCAAATGAAGTCTAAGGGTTTACCAAAAAATAAAAGAAGGCTTCTATTTTCTTATGTTGAAAAGCAGCCATAAGTGCACTTAGAAAACACCTTTGAGGTTTTCCTTGAAATGTTTTTATCTTCACTTTCCAGAAAGCCTTTTGGTCATTTTTTGTTGTTTAAGCAATAACAAGTGGAGTCAAATAACAAAATATGATTGAAAGCACTAAAAGAAACTGAACTTGCTTTTTCATCAATTCATTCAGACAATTCCACGTATGCTTTGTATATGTTCAGCCTTTTCCAGATTTGTAAAATCAGAATTTTGGTATGAAACCTGGGGGTATCAGTTTTGTGATAGATAATCCTATTATATTTAAAATAGAAAGAATACAGAGTGGATTTTTTAAAATGCACAAATGTATCCGAGTATAAAGGCATTTAAGAAGCCAATGCATGGATTTACAAGTAAGGAATAGCAAATTAGCACTTCTCCAAATAAGTGGAGATGACATGGCTGCTATGACTTAAGGAGTAAGTGGTAAGTAGACTGCTCCTATGGAACCTCTCTGCATTAGGACCCGGGTACTTACGAGACCGCCTTCTGCCACCGATAGCCTCCCATTGACCAGTACGCTCCCACAGAGAGGGACTCCTCAGGGTGCCATCGGTCAAACAATGTCAACTGGCGGCCCCCAGGGGGAGAGCCTTCTCTGTGGGGGCACCTGCCCTCTGGAATGAGCTTCCCCCGGAGATTTGTAGGATTCCCGACCTTCGCACCTTTCGCCGCGCCCTCAAAACACTATTGTTTCACCAAGCAGGGCTGGTCTAATTCTATTTTAATGGGTTGTCTTTATTTTAGTTTTTTCGGCCAAATTATTTAATATTTTTAATTCGTCTTTTAACTTTTATATTGTTGTGGGTTTTATCTCAGATTTCCAGACCCTTGAAGGAAGGAAGTCAGGCATTTTGGCAAATTCTTTTACACCTCTCTCCTTTCGCTGGATTTAAATCCTAGCATTGAATTTAATGAGACTTATTTCCGAGTAAACCGACTGTTCCTTCCTGTATTGGTGGGGTGGGGGGGAAGAGAGGAAGGAAGGAGGGAAGGAAGGCATTTTGGCAAATTCTTTCACACCTCTCTCCTTTGGCTGGATTTCTATTACACCCCCTCTAACCAATTGGTTGGGGGCTAACTATCACAGAGGGCGGAACACCCAGGACAAACCCTCTTTCTGCGAATGAGCCGTGTCAAAGGGTCTGGGACGAAGAGGCCAGTGGCTCATTCCCCACGGCAAATGACTGGAGGCGTGCCAGCTGAGGAGATAAGTCGGGGGAGAATCACCCGAGGACAAACACCCAAGGAGAATGAAAAGTCAGAGACTAAAAGTCCTAGACCCATGATATTCAGGGCTTCAAAGTAGTTTCTGTTATTCTCTTTGAAAATAGTGATTTTAAGAACATATTGTGGAAAGTGCCTGTCATTCTTCTTCCACTTCGGATTGATTTGAAACTTGCAAATCAGCAGTGTGCAATTGATCCAACAAATTCAAATTTATTAACATATACACATTCATAGACCCAACCCCCTCCTCCCCAAATAATTTAGTGTTAGAGTTTCTAGTTACAGGTAGCCTTTGATACACATGTAAAGAACATTGCTTAGCGATGACTATCTCTGCAGTCCAGGTTGCTGTCATTGATCAAATTCCATGGTTATGGTTAGGCAAGGCAACTTCCTGCTGGCTTGCCACAACCAAGTCAGTAGAGAAGCTGGCAGAAAGTTTCAAGTCCCAGGTGACTAGTAAGCAGGTCAGTAGGCTGGCAAGTAGCTGTTGTAGGAGAGATATAAGGGAGTACTCAAGAGTGTAAGAGATGCATGGCAAGGCTTAGGGAGAGCATGGTGGTATATGGGGCTGCATAAGGATGTGAGGGATGCATGGAGAGGATAGAAGAGGGTGCACAGGGATGTGTGAGTAGGGTGAGTACAGAGGGGCTGGGGGATTTTGTGCAGGAGAGGGAGATTTACCGCAGTGACTTACAAACCCAGTCTACTTCCCCATTGATTTTATGGAGAAGCCAGCAGAGAAGGTCACAAATGGCTACCACATGCTTCAATTGATCATAGGTGGAAGCTGACTGCCAAGTGCCCAGAGTGCAATCATGTATGCCAATGACCAGTCATAACCACCATTCATTCAATGCCCTCATAATTTCAAATGGTCACTTAATGAATGAGCATAAACTGAGGACTACCATTACTGGAGGTTTGTTTTGCAGTTAGCTTTGGCCAAGTTTTGCTCTTCCATGTACCAATAATATCATCAATTAGATTTCTATACACTCCATTTGATTATATCCATGTACATAAATGTTTATGGAGATTCTCAGTTATTTATTTTATTTTATTTTATTTATTATATTTGTATACCGCCCTTCTCCTGCTGGACTCAGGGCGGTGCACAGCTAAAATAAAAAACATCCCAATACAAAATTTAAAATTTGTTAAAAGAATTACACACTTTGGCCCAAAATTTAAAACATCCCAACTAAAACCCATAGACAATTAAAATCTAACATCTCAAAAAGAGGGGGGGCGGGTTTTAAGCCAGCCCTGCTTGGTGGAAAAGAAAAGTTTTTAGGGCACGACGAAAAGCCTGGAGATCTGGTATCATGCGTATCTCCGGGGGCAAGTCGTTCCAGAGGGCAGGTGCTGCCACAGAGAAGGCCCTCCCCATGGTGGTCGCCAGCCGACACTGCCTGGCTGACGGCACCCTGAGGAGTCCCTCTCTGTGGGAGCGTACTGGCCGGTGGGAGGCTATCGGCGGCAGAAGGCGGTCCCGCAAATACCCAGGCCCTATGCCATGGAGCACTTTAAAGGTGGTAACCAACACCTTGAAGCGCACCCAGAAGACCACGGAAGCCAATGCAGCTCACGCAGGAGAGGTGTCACATGGGAGCGCCCCCTTGCTCCCATAATCCCCCGCGCGGCTGCATTTTGCACCAGTTGGAGCCTCCAGGTGCTCCTCAAGGGGAGCCCCATGTAAAGAGCATTGCAGTTGTCCAGGCGGGAAGTGACGAGTGCCTGAGTGACTGTGCGTAAGGAATCCTGATCCAGAAAGGGACGCAACTGGCGAATCAGGCGAACCTGATGAAAAGCCCCCCTAGACTTTGTTTTTCCTTGAAGACATTACACTTCTCATCCAAGATGAGAAGCAAAATATCTTCAAGGAAAACCAAAGTACAGTTGCCCTTTGAAAAAGCATCTTTGGGACAGTCATTTACATAGGTGTCATTTTGGTTGTTTGAAGACTGTTAACAATCAATAAACCATTGATTTGAAAAAAAATGATGAATCATTTTCCTGCCTCCCTTTATTTTCTTAGGCCATTTTCCTCCTTAATATTTTTAACTTTGATATACTAGTCTCCAACTAGCAGAAGCACATATTGCTTACTTGTTCTGTTGACTTCAGACTGACCATAAACCTCATAAAACTCCTTCTGCTTGAGTGGTTGGAACATAAACTTTGATAATTATTATATTAACAGGTTGTCCATGAGATCTAATTGATATTATTCGGTCACTGACTGCATTGTACCTAAGTATTGTCCTTACTATATTGTTTTTGACTATGAAAGCAACACCATTCTGTCTTCATTTTTCATGTCCTGAGTAATAACCAGTGTGATCTTCTCAGTGGAAGTACCAAATTCAAGTCCATTTCATTTTACTGATTCCTAAATGGTCACTGTCTATTTCCTGTATATGATCTTTCACTTTGTTGAATTTTCCCATGTTTATCTTTCTTGTATTCCATCTTCCACTGCAGTTCCACCTTTGACACTTTGGGTTTTATTTTTCTGCATGGCTGATTCAGTAACTAGCCACATTATAAACACCATTAGAATGTTCTCAAACTCAGATCTAACTACTGTGGGAAAAAAAGGCTAACCAATGTGCTACGTTTACATTTGCCTTTGATAATTTCATTCTGTTATTTGGAGCCTATTTCAATGATCTATTAAAATTGTTCTGAATTATTCTGAAGTCACCAATCTGAAGTCACTCAGTAAGCTATATGGCTGAATGATGGCTTACTAAATGAGTAATAAACTCATTTTTAAGTGTCAACAGATATTGAGCTAGCCTTGCATATAAATTTTGTGGTCACATTTCCTATACCTTGAGTAGCATTTCAATGATTTTTTTCAGTCTATTTCATATTTCAGTTCTTTCCAGTTCTTTTTTTGGGAAGATTCTTGAAGTAAAGTTATTTAAGCTTGTGCATCCTTTTTACTGAATTGGTTTTAAAAGTTGTTTATTCTGTCTTCCAATTGCTGCTGGTAAAGAAAGTGGGACAACGACTTTATATTTCCCAGAATCAACAGTTTAGGATATCAACATGCTCATAATTGAATCTTTATTGTATGTACCATGTCAAATATTTAAAGGGAATTGCTGAGAATTATTGCTTGATTAGTAAAATATGTGTAATCGAGAGAGTAAATGTCTATGGAGATTCTCAGTCATCCAGGTCATGATTGCCCCAAAGGTGCTTTTTCAAAAGGCAACTGGACTTTCTTGTTTTTCTTTGAAGATGTTTCACTTCTTACCCAAGAAGCTTGGAGCTTTGTCTGTTTTCCTCAGGGTCACCTGAGTAGTGCAAATGGGTTTGGAGCCATCTTGGAACTGCTGAAAGAATTCTGTTGTGGAGTTGTGCTTTCTGCAGGATGTTTTCTGCCCTGTGTCCCTTCAATGTTGAACATAGGCTGTTGGGAATAAGTCTGTGCTGTTTGCATCTCAAACTGAAGTGCAAATGGTTCCTGTAGTCTCCAACGCAGTCCTTTCAGCAGTCATGAGAAGGCTCATCACCCATTTGCACTTCAGTTTGAGATGCAAACAACAGAGACGTATCTCAAACAACATGTGCCTTTGTTCAACAGTGTAGGGACACAGGGCAGAAAACAACCTGCAGAAAGCACAGCTCCACAACACAGTCCTTTCAGCAGTTCCAAGAAGGCTCCACATCAATTTGCACTATTCTGGTGACCCTGAGGACACAGACAAACCTCCAGGTGGCTTCAACAACTCTCTAAAAGAATGCAAATGACCAGCTGTCTGCAAGGAATATAAATCCTCCCATTCCCCACCATCTAGTCAGAGCTGAAGAAGCTTCTTTGTTGAGAAGTGAAATGTCTTCGAAGAAAAACAAGAAAGTCCAGTTGCCTCTTGAAAAGGCATCTTTGGGTCAATTGATAGTGTAGACATTACGATTTCAGGAACTGCTTAGAATGTGCAATCGTCACTTGCTTGATTTGCTATTGTTCCTTCTTACATTTAAGAAAATAAGTTGAATATTAAGAGTTTATTAAAAGTTTTAACACTTATGAAAATAAGAGAAATAATAGAAGAAAAAGAGCTAATTTGGTCTAGTAGTTAATGCACAAGGCCAGAAACCAGGAGATTGTGAATTCTAGTCCTGTTAAACAGGAAAACTGGCTGGGTGACTTTAGGCCAGTCACCCTCTGCCAGCCCATGATACCAGGCTCAGGTGACAAACTAGTCAGTCAATTCCTGTTGCAGTAAATTGATCAACCCTTCATTGATTAAAACAAAAAGATGACCCTTTATTTGCAAGAAAACATAGGAAGGGGAAACAAAGGTAACAAAAATAAGAATATTGATACTAACCCACAAAAGTCACAATTAAATTATTGGGGAAGAGAGATTTGGTTTGTAATGGCTAAAGAATTTTCTTATCACTCTTTAGATACTAAAAACCAAAATATTTCTGGATCGATTTTCTTTGCTAAAACTCTATATCGAAACAAAATAATTCTGAATTGCACACAATCCTTCTAGATAAGCTCTTCTACAATATATTGGCTTATTTCTGAGAAACTTGTTTTGGACTCTGTGTTTCATCACAGAATCATCCAAAGACAGAATTGTCTTAAGATTCAAATTGATTTTGCTTGTGTAAAATTCTTGCCAGTGCTCTGTCTGCTCCGTTCTATTTAACCCTTAAGGAAAAGCCAGGCAAAAGCCAGTATATTGAACAAGATCCCAATTTTCATCTGTTGTTATGGTTACCAGAAGTAGAAAATAATTTCCTGTAATTTATCTTAAGATCATTTATGTCAGATACAAACACAGATTAAGCTGAATACCATGGTAATTTCTTTTCCAATTGTGTTAGTAACCATAAGATATTCATTTTTTACTTCATAAATAAGAGCTACAGTATGTCATGATCAGTCAGAGAAGATAAAATGAATCTAATTAAGTACCATCAGAAGATCACTTTGCTGTTTTTATTGCTGCAATAAAAGTTCCCTTACCTTCTTATTCTTTCTGAAATGCAGAGATTATTATGGAAATAGGATGAGACCAAACAAGCCTTGGTTGACCTGGAGTTGCGTGCAGCAATATCCTCATGCCGTTTATGGAAGGAGATGAAAACTCAACTCCTTGCTGTGCCCCCTTTTATTTAAAATGAATGGAGTCATATGTATGTATCAGAAAGGTCACATATATTGGTTTTTATATAAATAGTACAATCATTAGACTGATCGATAGGGCTCTCGGTTCACTGGTAATCATAGAAAATGGGCTTAGATGTATTGGCAGAAGAAGCTGACAGGCATTCAGTGATATGCACTGCTATAAGTTTGCTGATTTTTATGCAAGGCACAATGTTAAGACGACAGTTCTAAAAACACAATGAGATCTGATATCCATAGAAAAGCATGTGCCACAGTTGGATTCATGCCAGAGATCAAATAGATCTTCCTGACAGTCTGACTTATTTAGAAAAGAATCAGCTGAGATAAAGCCAGTTGCAGATATCTGATGGTGTCAATGCCATTTGAACAAGTCACTTTTCAGATCTGGAAAAATTACACGTGGAAGTTGGTCTATAATATTTGCCAAAACCAGGAAAAGATTTTCCTTGGCCTCAAGAAAGATCAAACATATTTTAAGTTATGTAGAATTCCAATCCTTGTTGTCACCTTACTTTTACAAATGATGGCATGCAATTGAAAAGGTAATAAAGTACTTATTGAATATTTGCCTTGAATATAGTCTCAGCTTGAATTTTCACATTAATGAAATAGTAATTCAACTAGTCACTTGCCATGACTAGTTGAATTACTATTTCACAAAACACTCTCCCCAAAACTCCGATAATTATCAGAGATCAGAAAGTGGCAGATATCCAGCAGATAAGTAAAACCACCTGCTTGCCGCAACATAATTTATTGTCCAGCAACACTATTCTCCATATCCCCACTGGCATCAATTCATCAGCCAGTGCTGGATAGAGATAGGCAAGTAGCAGGGTTACCTTCACCAAGACATGCTGGCCAGGAGCTTTGGATAGAGGGAAGCAGGGAGAGATAGCAGACGAGGTAGTGATACTGCCAGGAGCTTTATTATTATTATTATTTTATTTATTTATTATTTATTTTATTTGTCATGAATGTATTTGGTAATAAATATAAGCATGGATTGGATACATAAAATAGGTACAAATAGAAGAAACATTAGGACAGGCACGCCGGTGCTCTTATGCATGCCCCTTACAGACCTCTTAGGAATGGGGTGAGGTTAACAGTATACAGTCTTAGGTTAAAATTTTGCGGGTTTGGGGATGAAACCACAGAGTCAGGTAGTGTATTCCAGGCATTGACCACTGTTGCTGAAGTCATATTTTCTACAATCGAGTTTGGTGCAGTTTACCTTAAGTTTGTATCTATTGTGTACTCGTGTATTGTTGTGGTTGAAACTGAAGTAGTCATTGACAGGTAGGACATTGTAGCAGATAATTTTATGAGCTACGTTTAGGTCATACTGAAGGCGGCGTAGTTCTAAGTTTTCTAAGCCCAGAATTTCAAGTTTGGTGGCATAAGGTATTTTGTTGCGAGCAGAGGAGTGGAGGACTCTTCTTGTGAAATATTTCTGGACACGTTCAATTGTATTAATGTCCGATATGCAGTGTGGGTTCCAGACAGATGAGCTGTATTCGAGAATTGGTCTAGCAAATGTTTTGTATGCTCTGGTTAGTAGTGTGATATTACCGGAGAAGAAGCTACGCAAGATTAGGTTTACAACTCTTAATGCCTTTTTGGCAATGTTGTTAATGTGGGCTTTCGCATTTAGATCATTAGATATGAGTACTCCAAGATCCTTGACAGAGTGAGGGTCATCTACAAGATCGTGTCCACTCAGCATGTATTTTGTGTTCTGGTTTTTTTTGCCAATGTGTAAGACAGAGCATTTGTTTGTTGAGATATGGAGTTGCCAATTGTTTGACCATTCTGATACAGGAATCAGAGGAAAATGAGTTCAGGAATAGTGCTGGCCAAAAGCTTTTTGGAGATTGCTGGTCTTGCATCTTGACGAGTATAACATTAAAAGCTGAATACCCTGTCTTTTAGTCATCAAGGTGTAAGGCCTATGAGTTTGAAACCTTGTAAAGGGTTGAACATGCAATATGCTTACAACTTCATGAGAACTGGATAGGTAGTTGTTGAGGAATGATTTAGTAGACTCCTGCACTGAGCAAGGGGGATGGACTAGATGGGTTCCCTTCCAAGTCATATGCAACTCAATATAATTTATATGATTTTATGATTATCTCTTAAAATGGCCTATTTTACAAGATTATTATGAGCATCAATTTTAGAAGGGGGAAGCAATTATATAGGAATATCAAAATTTTATAGGAGGTAATTAGTTCTCCCACTGAAAATCACTTTATCTTAGAGCTGCTAACATTTGGTCAGATTGTCAGATTGGAAATATCTTCATGAAAGAAAGCATGGAAAGATGAAATCCTATCAAATATTTGACCTGTGCAGAGTGGCCTGAAAAGTATTCTGATGCAATTTACTTTATGGAGTCAGAGGGGCAATTGTAATTTATTTCAACAAAACACTTTACATTGTCTCACATTGCACTTAGGAAACCTGAAGCTTTTTCATACGCACTGAATATGCGTCAATTTCTCATCAAGTCCTTGCAAGTCCTGGCTGAGACAGATTAAGAGAAGCTTTATGTTTATTTCGCTTCACATTAAAAACTGAAGGAGCTTCAAGGGGTGCTTTGCTCAAGCCATCACCAAAACAATATGCCTCCTTGAGGATTTGTACAGCCCTATGAAATAGATCTTTAAGTACCATTGCTCCTATTATCTTTAATTTCAACTATTTTCCCATGATGTACCAGGCCTAATATGCTAGTCAACAGACAATGAGTTCATGTAGAAATCAGGTTATTGCATGGTAGAATTTTAGATTTGATGAAGCTTCGAATATATGAATCAGTAGGACTTCAGAACTTTTCATTTTGAATAGGAGTAGATGAATCCATTTCATTTCTTTGCAAAACAAAATCAAATCTAAGTTAGCTTCCCCCCCATACACATCATTTTGTGCTTTATTTAAAAAAATGTAGACATTCTATACACAGCTTTCTTTTTAATGAATGCATTTGTGTAGACAACTTTCACACTTATTGTATGTGTTTTTTAAATAAAAGTCAAAGAATAACATTGCAAAATTTGAAGAAGTGCAAACATGAAAAGTTAAGATTGAGTTGGCTTGCTTATTAGTTAAGGAAGTGTGAATGAGATATTGTACTGACATATAAATCAAACTAATTGCTTTTATTTCTAACTTTTGCTGGAATATAACTGTAGATATTCTTCAGTGCTTTTGAATTGTTGATGAAACTTGTGAATTTAGAATCTACATTTTCTAAATGAATCTACATTTAGGGAAGAAAAACAAAATGCACAGGTTCCGTATATGTGGTACCTTGCTCAATAGTAGTAACTGTGAGAGGGATTTTGGAGTCCTAGTGAACAACCATTTAGATATGAGCCAGCAGTGTGCAGCAGCTGCCAAAAAAGCCAACACAGTTCTGGGTTGCATAAACAGAGGGATAGAATCAAAATCACGTGAAGTATTAATATCACTTTATAATGCCTTGGTAAGGCCACACTTGGAATACTGCATCCAATTTTGGTCACCATGATGTAAAAAAGATATTGAAACTCTAGAAAGAGTGCAGAGAAGAGCAACAAAGATGATTAGGGGACTGGAAGCTAAAACATATGAAGAACGGTTGCAGGAACTGGGTATTGATGAAAAGTTTGATGAAAAGAAGGACTAGGGGTGACATGATAGCAGTGTTCCAATACCTCAGGGGCTGCCACAAAGAAGAGGGAGTCAAACTATTCTTCAAAGCACCTGAGGGTAGGACAAGAAGCAATGTGTGGAAACTAATCAAGGAGAGAAGCAATTTAGAACTAAGGAGAAATTTCCTGACAGTTAGAACAATTAATAAGTGGAACAACTTGCCTGCAGAGTTGTGAATGCTCCACCACCAGAAATTTTTAAGAAGATATTGGATAACCATTTGTCTGAAGTGGTGTAGGGTTTCCTGCCTGGGCAGGGGGTTGGACTAGAAGATCTCCAAGGCCCCTTCCAACTCTTCTCTTCTCTTCTCTTCTCTTCTCTTCTCTTCTCTTCTCTTCTCTTCTCTTCTCTTCTCTTCTCTTCTCTTCCCTTCCCTTCCCTTCCCTTCCCTTCCCTTCCCTTCCCTTCCCTTCCCTTCCATTCCATTCCATTCCATTCCATTCCATTCTATTCTATTCTATTCTATTCTATTCTATTCTATTCTATTCTATTCTAATTTTTCCATAAAGAGAACCCAGTTAAGGGTACAGAAGGAGATTATACATACATTCTATTTAAGATGAAGGTTCAGATGAAACAATCTCTCTCTCTCTCTCTCCCTCTCCCTCTCCCTCTCCCTCTCTCTCTCTCTCTCTCTCTCTCTTCCTCCCTCCCTCCCTCCCTCTCCCTCTCCTTCTCTCTTTCCCCCCTCCTCTGTGTGTTTCAAACCATATTTAAAATCTCATTTCATGGATTGTTATGTCATCAAATTTTAAAATTGCTCCCCGAGTATCATGATGAATATATGATTCTGATTTTTTCAAGCATGCCCTCTTGGGACAGAGTTATCTATGTATGGTTGGCTTCTCATAGTTTGTGGGCATTTTCTAGCCTTATTCATGCAGGATCAGGGTGTCTATGAATTGCTATATCACTGGAGATGATGATTTGATAGAGAACTATATTATACGAGCGAAATGATGCTGAAATGGCTAAAGCTGTGAAGTTGTGACTGAGGCTTAAATAGCAGCCGCTGTTGCCTCAATGTAATCGGTGACCTTCTGAAGTCAGCTCTTTGCGGGTAATCTATAGCAGCCCTCTGCCTGGAATGCCTTTCAATTCATCATTTCCCCAGAGATTTAAAACAGTCATCAAAAACATTTTTTTCCTTGCTCAGGCCAATTTATCTCCTTGAAGGCCTGATGATTCTCTTTGAAACTCCCACTGTGCATTAAATATTACAAATTCAAATCAATATTCTCCCTCTTAAATAAAGTCACAGTTGTCAGA